TTTTTTTTTTTAGAGATGTCATAAAGTTTACCTTTCTAACCCTGCAGCACAGCTGAGCAGGACTCCTTACCTCCTCTGGAGAGCTCGGGCCTTGCGTCAGGTCCTGCCGCTGCTCCCTCTGCAGCCCAGCAGCAGAGAGTACCCATTCATAAGCCCTTCACGCAGTCCCGTCTACCCCCCGACCTCCCCATGCACCCCGCCCCGCGCCACATCACCGAAGAAGAGTTAAGAGTGCTCGAGGGCTGCTTGCACCGTTGGAGGAGCGAAGTGGAAAATGACACTCGTGGTAGGGCTATGCTCCTGTCTACCGCTATGCTGGCCGTTATTATGGCACATGCTAATAGGTCGTATATGATCCTCTACTTGCAGATCTGCAGGGGAGTATTACGAGAATTCACAGAACCATTGAGCTGATGTACTCGGACAAATCTATGATGCAGGTGAGCAACCCAGTCCTTTCACCTCGACTTGTAAAAATAAACCCAACCCTCACATTTCCTTGTTTGTGTTTCTGCAGGTTCCATATCGGCTTCACGCAGTGTTGGTCCATGAAGGCCAGGCCAATGCAGGCCACTACTGGGCTTACATCTATGACCCACATCAGCGTTGCTGGATGAAGTACAATGATATTTCAGTGACAAAGTCATCCTGGGAGGAGCTTGTCAGGGACTCTTTTGGAGGCTACCGCAATGCTAGTGCCTACTGTCTCATGTACATCAATGATAAGAAGCCATTTCTCACAGAAGGTAAGAATGAACTCCGGTGCTTGCATCTCTCTTTTGGTTGTCATATTAGAAAAGTGACTCATATCAGAATGTTGGCTGGATTGTCTTTTGGGGTTTTGAGCTCTATATCACATTACTTTGTGTCATCAGCCTCTCTCTGTATCGATACCTAAATGTGTTTACTACACCTGATACTTCTGAACTGATCTGATTCCCAAATAGACATCAGGAAACCTTCATATTTCTTTTTCCTAACTCTCCATTGCAGAGGAGTTTGACAAGGAAACGGGGCAGATCCTCAGCGGCATGGACAAACTGCCGCCAGACCTGAAGCAGTATGTGAAGGAGGATAATGAACAGTTTGATAAGGAGATTGAAGAGTGGGACATCATGCAGGCTCGCAAGGCCCAACAGGAGAAGCTGGCACTGGCCACAGCAGCAGCAGCCGCCGCTGC